AAGTGCTATTTCAACGATGTAGGGATGTGAATTGCGATATTTATGCATGCTTCATTGATTACCATAAAGCATTTGATGCAGTAAAACACGACACGTTGATGGAGATATTAACAATTGTAACGTTATAAACGTCACATCTCTATTAATTTATATTTAAATATTATTTTATTTTAATTTCTTTATTAATTTATTAATTTGTTTATCTGAAGTTAATTTTTACTATCTTTTTATTTAAAAAGTAGTTGGCGCCCTCTCCGTTTCTCTATATTTCTTCCTCTCATTATTTCCTCTCCCTTTCTGTCACGTGAATAAATATTCGCCCTCTCTCTTTGTGTTCTGTGTTGACAGACAAGTTAGTTTCGTGAAATAGCAACATCCTATGACATCTGTGCTAACTTCAAGTAGTTTCCCACTTTCTGTCAAAACAACTTCTAACGTGGTGGGATTATTTTTTGTCTGATTTTGAACTTTATAAAAGAAGGCAAATTTATAATTAGACTCATTTTATGGTCTACAAATTCTCTTGGGGTAAGTACTTTCATTGTCATATTTTTCTATAATTCTGACCGCATTTCCGACACTTCTAACCTTACTTTATTTCCAAAGCACATTGTTTTTTTTATATATGCATTAGGACTCTAACAGAATTTAACTAACAATCATAGTAACAATCATATTTCATTTTATCCTTGCCATACGCTATTTCTGTAATTGTAACTTTGTAAGATGGCAAGGAAGTTAACCCTTTTTCTTTATGTGTGTCTAATGGAAAACTATTACTTTTGTTTTAGTTTATTGGAAATATCGAGAATATACCATTTTATTGGAAATATCGAGAATATACCATTTTATTGGAAATATCTGGAATATACCCTTTTTAGAAGTGTTTTAAACATTTAATATATATTACCAAGCTATATCTCCATTTTACTGGAATTATTGACCACATAGGACCACGTGTGACTGCAGTTCTCCAACCAACACCATTCCATTGGAGGACCTAGCAGCTAGGACACACAAGTAGCCATCGAACAAAGCAATAAGTATTGCATTAATTGTTAAGCTTTGGCAGGGTCTATTATTGTGCTTTTTTTTTAAATAAATATGTTTGGTTAAAATTTGTTTTATTTGCTATCAACTGAGAACTCAGGTTCAATCCCTATTTTAAGACAAGACGAACTCACCCTTGAGATACTGAGCTAGGCAAGGTATAGACGATAAGCTCCCATGGTTGATTGAAGTATTATTTTCACAATATTACTTCAATTCTCTTTGGTAGTCTTTTCGTTACACATTGGCGCCAACGTGGGGCGCCAGCTACACAGCAGAAACAGAGAGGGCGCCAACTACTTTTTAAATAAAAAAGATAGTAAAAATTAACTGAAGATAAACAAATTAATAAATTAATAAAGAAAATTAAAATAAAATAATTATTTAATATAAATTAATAGAGATGTGACGTTTATAACGTAACAAAATATTGGAATAACAAATACTGAAATCAAACATTGTCTATCCGTAAAGAGGCAGGAGAATCCGATGACATCAAAATCAAAGGTTGGGTCCGACAGGGATGTATACTATCTCCCTTGTTGTTTAACATATACTTTAAGAAAATCTTTCAAGAAGCAGTAGAAGATGTTGAAGTCGGAATTTAAATTAACGGAGAATGTATCAAGAACATCAGATACGAGAATGACACGTTGGTATTCGCTAACAGTTACGAAGCCCTCCAGGAGTAAATAAATAGATTCACAGAAGTGAATCAGAGATATGGATTTTCACTGAACATTAAGAAAATAAAATGTATGATGATCTCTAAGAAGGAACAGAAAATTCAAAGAATCTGTTGAATGATCAACCAATAGAAAGAGTAAAAACATACATACCTACCTTGGTACGAACGTCAATGAAAATTGGGACCATTCCCTAGAAATAAAATCTAGGATAGAGAAAGCAAGATCTGCCTTTCAAAAAATGGCTAAGCTATTCAAATGCCATGATTTGTCAGTACCTATAACAATCAGGTTACTACGATAATATATCTTTCCTATACTGTTGTAAGGAGTTGAGTCGTGGACTCCCACAGACGCTACCTGTACGAAAATTAAGGCTTTCGAATTATGGGTTTATCGTAGAATCCTAAAGATATCCTATACCGACGACGTTCCTAACCAGGACGTTTTATTAAGAATACAAAAAGGAAAAGAGTTGTTAACTACTATAAAAACAGAAAAAATTGAATACCTCGGTCACATCATGAGGAACAGCCAAAATATGGGTTGCTGCTATAATTTCTTCATGCAAAAGTACAAGGAACACGAGGACTAGAAAGACGAAGGATTTCCTGGCTGAAACAATCTACGTACGTGGTTCAACACAACAACCACAAATCTTTTCAGAGCCGCACTTCGCAAAATACAGATTGCTATGATGGTCGCCAACATCCGAAACGGAGAGGCACTACAAGAAGAAAAAGATCTAATAAATGACAGATAGAGAAATCATGGAGGGATCGGACAATAGCTAAGAAAAGGAACAAGTTTGGCTTCTCAAAAAAAAAAAAAAAATCCCCCGAGACCCTAGTGCTTTATCGAAATTAGCAAAAGAAGTTCTATTAGTAACAGATCATACGCTGTCCATGAAGAGGAAACTGTGGTTTATACGAAAATCAAAAGAAACTACAGAACAATTATACATCTGCGTAACATTGCCCTGCTAACGACTTATAATATATGATTGCATTTAAAGGAATGTAGAGCTCATTGCGCATAAAACCATGAAAACAAGTAGAAACTATCGACTAAGTAAAATTATCAATTTTTTATAAAACTATTCTCGATTTTTTACATTGACGATATAATTACCTACCTAAAGGCAAACAGGCTGCATAACTGACATAGCCTTCTTCTGCGTGAGGCGTTTTGAACATACAACCAATGTTGATTCTTGAAAACAGCGTTCACAACCATGCCTAGTGGTAGCGATATTTCTGCTTGATATCCTCCAACTCTCGTTTGATATAGAACGCTCGGAAAAGCTAACACTACTGGTATATTTGCAGGTTTTTCGATCGTTGCCTAAAAACAAAAAAAAAATATTTTAATAAACCTATAAATTGTAAGTGTGTATGCAGGTTGCTGAAAAATAGATACCGAAAATTTGAGATATTTTAGTTTATTTTTCTTTTATTTTCATTACAGTTTTGGTCATCTGGTGTTGATGTAGTTTCTGGAATTCTGCGATATATATTCTTCATTTTGATTGTATTTTAACGTGGTCAAATTTTCGTCAGAGTGTTACAGCGTGTTTCATACATCAAGACGAGGTTATATTCACCAGGCCACGAGTTTGTTTATATATTTTTAATAAGTATATTTATACGTTTAAATATGGAGGAACAATAATTAGTAAAAGGAGTACGAGAGTACGATTTTTTATCTTCTTCTTCTGGTTCCTATCCGTTTCGGATGTTGGAAATCATATTGGCAATCATAACCTTGCTCGCTGCGGCTCGAAACAGCTCCGTTGAGGTTTTCTTAAACCATGTTCTTAAATTCCGCAGCCATGATATTCTCCTTCTACCAGGTCCTCGCTTACCTTTAACTTTACCTTGCAATATAGACTGTAGCAGGGAGTAACGGTGCTGATTTCTCATAACGTGTCCCACATAATTGCAATTTTATGCGTTTGATTGTAAACACAATCTCTGGTTCCTTCTTAATTTTTCCTAGAACTTCCTTGTTCGTGATCTTTGCTGTCCATGATATTCTCAGGGCTTCTCAAAATAAGGGCTATCGGGATCAAAGAAAACGATAACAGGCTTGCGAGGAAATTGGTGGAAAAATAAACAAAACTGTAAGTATTGATTCAAATTATTTTACTTTAATAATTACTAATATATTATTCTGTATACATCTAGGAGTTATCTTTATTAAGCCATACTTTTACATACAAAAAACATTATTATTGGGTACCTTCTAAAGGTTCTACTTTTTCTCAACATATCATTAACGTCTGCCTACACGAATAATATCTCTCTACTAAGGACGTCGTTATGGAAGTATTTATGAAGGCAGCATGCTGCGATTATAATTTTATTAGCATCTTCTGGGCTATTTTCTGTTGGTTTTCTGAAAATTCTCTATCGCTCTGTTAGAATGCCAAAGGCATTTTCCACAATGCGACGTGCTCTCGAAAGCTGGTAATGGAAAATATTTTCTGCTTTGCCAGCTAAGTTGTTTTTACTAAATGGTCGCCTTAAATTAGCGTTTCAGAGGAAATGCTTCATCACCAACCATAACATACAAGCAAAGAGGTCCTGTGGGTGTTATTGGCTAATTTGTGGGAACATAAATTCTGTTGCCTTCAAACTATTGGCCTAATAACGATCTTCCAAAAACGCCTCCATCACTCTTTCTACCATAATTACCGAAATTAATGCATATAAATTTGTAGTTCTCATCGACTAAAGCAAGAAGAACTGAGTGAGTGCCTATGTAATTAGAATAAGCACTCCCTGCGTTATTGGGACATTGTATTTGAACATGTTTTACCGCCTAAAGCATCGATACAATGTGGAAACTGTCACTTTCGTTCAAACTCTATGGCTATTTGTGCTCCAATGTGTACATGCTCCAACCTGACCAAATCAATTTGGTCAGGTTGGAGCATGTATATAGGTTGTAGTGCTTTCCATATGGCCTCATAATAAGTTTTAAACAATTTCTCCCACTGTACTGAATCAAATGCGAAACTCAAAACCCAGTGATTTGTATGAATTTACTGTTAAATTGCCAAATATTTAAAAAAATAGGCAAACCAAAAAAAATCATTATCCCATATATTATAAAATAGAGATGGTTTTTGTATGGTGTGTGTGTATTTGTTCCGAATACTCGCAAAAACTACTAAACCAATTGAGTTAAAATTTTTCGTCAACACTTATAACCCGTGCGAAGAACGGGTAAATCTGCTAGAGAGAAATTAAAATAGTATGTGTAAATTTTTTTTTAGGGCAAGAATGTCGAGGCAGTTAGACAAAACTGAGAAATGCCTACACCAACGCGTCAAAAAGCAGAAGGACGACTAGTGGCCAGGCAGAAAAAAAAATTTGAAATGGAAATTTAAAGATCAAATATAATTTTTGGCTCACCATCTAAAACCCAGAGCACCACAAAGAAACTTTCACTATTAGAATGAGGAAAGTCAAAGTGAGAAAAATGACAGACATATGAATGATATTGTTGAAACGTAAGATAAAAAAGATGGCGATGAAGATACGACTACGAATAATTTAAATTCACTTTCTAAAGTATTAACAAAACCAAATAATCTTGATACACCAAATGTTTGTTTTTTTAGACCATCGTCAGGCAAAAAGAAAATCGAGAAGTCAATGAGTGACTTAGTAGATATTATAAAATCTAATAACCGTATGAGGTCTTACATCTGACCTCCGCATCAACCTGCTGAACTAATATTCAACAACAATAGATTTAATGCTGGAATTATTAATAATAGAATCATCGGAATTCAAAACATTTAGAGAATCATTACAATCACTAACCTCTTCCACGTAAATATTACTTAACCTGTTGTAATCCCCTGGATCATGTAGAGGTGAGTCTTTGCCACACACACTTTACCCTCATCCCAAGGTTAAGTATTTATCCAAAAAATATAGGAAATATTAATACTTACAGTACAAATGCTAAACTAAAAACTTATAATTAACGTAAACCTGATTAAAAACTAAATAAATTCGATTAAGTACGAGACACACTCATACGCCGGTCCGCACTATACGAAGGTTTAAACGAAACTCAACACATGGTATTTAATGTAAGTTTTTGCCCCTATGTTTAACCCATTTGTTCCCACGACATTTTTTTTCGATAATACAAGATTTTTTGAATGTCCTTGAAGGATCTGGTTAAAATAGTAACAATTCATTGTTATTTGACATTAAAAATAAATTTTTAGCAAAAAGTAGGTGTACTCATACGAGTACATTGGGCTGATCGGGAGTTAAAAATATAAAACATTGTGTAAAAATGAAAATACTTTATTTTCTTACAATATAGGTACATACTTGGTATATCCTGTATTATAGTCTACCTTGTATGAAATTGCACAAAACAATCACGTTTAATACATAGAGTAACTTCACACTTTACATAAATCCAACGTACTCTTTGATAGCATAAGCGACATCGAAGTTGATTGTCTATTTTATTTGAAAAATGGCTGCATCCATCCATTTTTAGACTAATGGGTACAGATCCTGCCAGTTGTTTTCTAGAACAAGTAAATTTCCCAAAACTTCTTAAATAATGACGTAATACATCTCGTTGAAAAGCCCAAAGATCCATTTCTTTATTTTTAGCAAATATTTGTAACCTCCACGAGTTAACAAGAGCTGAGTTGCGCATGTGGGTAAAAATGGGCCACCCCCATTTATTACCTTGTATACTAACTCGGTAATTATTAACCGATTGGTCAAAGAGATCAACACCGCCCATTGAAGCATTATATGATGAGAAAAGTTCTGGTTGGGGTATATCAATTTTTCGTTTGGCAGCAGTACACCAACGATTCACTTTTGAAAGTGGTTCGATACTATCGTAATTTGATGTCATTGTGACCACATTGTTTGTCCTTCCATTTTATAAAAAGTAGTAGACTTGTTTTTTCAAAGCGATATTCGAAATATCCACGATTCTCCTTTGTCATTACAGCGGAAGGTAATAAAGGACATTTTTTTATACGATTGTAACTGTATCTAGTAAAATAATTGTCAAAAATAAAGCAATAACCAGTTAAACTACAAAGTATCCAGTCCTTGTTCCCAAATCTTACTGGCTTTCCCCTTATGAACTGTTAAGATGAGTGATGCCAAAATACTTTATCATCGCTTCATCAATTGATAAGTCTTTGTGAAATATACCAAATTGTTAAAATTTTTTATTTAGTTTGTTCATGGGAGGCCTCACTTTATACAATCTGTCCCTTGTATCAATTTGCGAATTATCTGCCAAATGTAGGTACTTTTAGTTTCTTGGAAACGGTTCCTTGACACTGCATTAGTTACGAGGGAAACCTGAAGATCCTCATCTAAACACCAATAGTTGAGCTCTCGTGGCAATCTATGGTATCCAGTAAAAATTAAAATAGCCAGAAATATCTTTATCTCTTCCTGCGTTACATAAAATTGATGATTATTATTTTAAGCGGCATATAAATTTGTCTGCTGTGTAATATATTCAATAATTTCTTGTCGAAAAATTTCTCAAATATTTCTATGGGAGATTTACCACGGATTTGGTCTTTCATATTATCCAGACGACCCTAGAAACCTGTTGTAGATGTCATACTAATATCAGTAATTTCTTCCATCCAGTCAAAGTTCTTGGTTTTATTTTGACCCTTCAGTAAATTTTATCTTCTTATGGCAAGAGAAAGATTATCTATTTCGTCGTTATCAGAGTCATCACTCATGTAATGAACCTCTATTTCTCCGGAACGTCATTCGGAAAGCTTTAAGTCTGAAGATCATCCTCATCTATGTCATTTTCAGTTTGATAGTCAGTCTCAGGAGAAATAAACCACCGATACATCTTTATGAGTGGAACTCGCTAGGTCATCTGAAGCTAAAGCAAGAGTTCTATAACATTTTCCATAAAACCCAATGGAACTAATATGCGGCAATTCTTGAAAACCTTCCAATACCAATAAAGAACCTGAAACAATAAAAAACAAATAATGATTTTGATCTCATACAAACCCACTGTACTCAAATGAGTACAGGTCTATTTTGAAATATAAAAACAACAGTTATAAAAAAATCTTATACTGAATAAATAATCATTACTAGTACTTACCCTTACAACAATAAAAGTTAAAAAAATAAGAAATTCTATCAAAATCACAATATTACAAACACTTCAAGGATCCAACAGAAATATGGAGGTTAGCTTATAATTACTGCGGCAGAAATTAGAAACAAGAGCGCCACCTAGGTATAATTTAAGAAAATCTAGTAGAAAACTTCCTAATAGAACCGGACATACATGTGGAG